CACAACCTGAGCCTAAATCAAGAGTTGGATGCTCAGCTGACTGAGCCACCTAGGTCCCCTGAGCAACCGACTCTTGATTTTGGCTCAGATCACCACCCAGGGTCATGGGATCCAGCCCCATATCGGGCTCCACGCTGAGAGTGGAGCCTGCTTGGGATTCTCTCTCTCTCCCCTCCCCCCTCCCTCTACCCTTCTCCCCAACTCAGGCATGAGAGCACAGTTCCTCTCTCTCTCTCTGTCTCTCTCTCTCTGGGAAAATAAAAAGCTCCCTGCCTGAGTGAGCCTTGTCATGACCTGACTAGTCTCCCTGTCACTACTTAACTCCTCCAGTACACCTTGATACCATCTGCCGTGCTGCCCAGCTCCCTGGCTCTTCCCAGAACCAATCCTGCAGAGAAGGTGAGCCTTAACATCCCTTCATTCAATACCCATCAGGTGTTAACAGTAGGTACTCAATAAATATTTGTTGAGTGAATGGAATGAATAAATGAATGAATGAATATATAAAATTAATCTGATGTCTGTTAATAAGTCTTTGATTTTTTTAGAGCAATAGTTCTCTTATTTTTTTTTAATGTTTATTTTTGAGAGACGGAGCATGAGTGGGGGATGGGCAGAGAAAGAGAGAGAGAGAGAGAGACAGAATCTGAAGCAGGCTCCAGGCTCCTAGCTGTCAGCACAGAGCCCAATGCGGGGCTTGAACTCAGGAACCGCGAGATCATGCCCTGAGCCAAAGTCGGCGCTTAACCAACTCAGCCACCCAGGCGCCCCTAGAGCAATAGTTCTCAAAGTGTGGTCCTCAGACCAGCAGCAAAAGCATCACCTGTGCACTTAGAAAGGCAAATACATTCTCAGGCCCCACCCAGACCTAGTGATTCAGGAGCTGTGTACAATAATCTCTTCAGATGATTGCGATGCAGGTACAGTTTGAACACCACTGCGTTAGAGCAGCCCACCCGACAGGACATGTGGTAGACACACGATAATATTTACTGAATATTGGGACCTTGAGTGTCTGCAGACAAGCCTGGAGGCTATGAATGAACTGACGAGAGGCTAGCTTTGCCTGCTAACGGTAACAGCAACATGGTAAATTTCAGTCTCCAGAAGGAAATCAGAGCAAAGAGACCATCCCCCTCACCTTTATTGCTAGGAATGCTATAGAACTTCTAAAAATGCTGAATCAGGAGTGGCTAACAAGGAGCTCCCAAGAGCTGGAAAGTGAGAGCACTTTCCTAAAAAGTGTAGCTGGGAAGCCGCTGTCGACTTCGATCTGGAGCTGCAGCCACAGGAACATATTAACAGGCCCACGGAGGCTCCAAAATAAAATGAAACCATGCCCGAGCCAGTGGCCCAGAGGAAGAAAGCTCTGTGGAAACACAGGCCCTTTGTGACTTACGACTCTGGTCAGGGTGACAGCCATTTTCTTCTGAGCAAAACCTCCAAATCAGTAGCCAGAACCTAAAACACCTTAGATTTCTCCTTCCCTAAGCTCGTTGGGCAGGAATAGCAAAGTTGTGCCTTAATACTTCATAAATTCCCAAAGGAATGGACGCCCTGGAGAACAACTCACACTAATGAAACACCTACTATGCATCCTGCCCTTTCCACTCCACTGTCCACACAGCAGCCACAGAAAAGTCTGACCCCTCACCCCCATGACTAAAACTCTTAAGTAGCTTTCCATTGTCCGAGACAAAGTCCAAATTCAATAGCCAAGCAAAAAAGATCTCTCAAAGCTGGGCCCAGCCTTCCTCCCCAGACTCCTCTGGCCTTTTCTTTTCCCCCTTGGTCATTCCCCCACTGCCACTCCAAGCTGAGGCCACTGTGAACAGCTTTCACGTCCCCCTACACAACACTCCCACCGCCAAACCTCTGCATAGGCTCTTCCCTCCATCAGCCACACCCTCTCTTCTCTCCACAGCCCTCACCCCTCAGCTCAGCCCCGGTCAATTTTAATCATCCTCAGGTCTTATCTTTGCAATCCTGGAACTCCATCCCAACCACTCTCTCTCTCTCCATCCCCACACAACATACAGTTAAGCTTTCTGTGTGTTTTCCACAGCTCCTTGTCTTCTTTTCATTATATATATGCATAGACTACAGGCCATAGACTATATATACTGCCATAGACATTACACTGCCTAGGTTCAAAACGTCAGTCTACCACTTAGTAGCCAGATCCCTTGAGCAAATTACTTGAACTTTCTGAGCCTCAGTTTCTTCGTTTGTTGTTGAGTTACCTACTTCACTGTTTGTGAGGTTAAATGAATTCACTTGACATTAAATGAATTCATATATCAAAAGGTATGTGGTAAGAACTGTGTGGACTCTACACGAGAAACAAAAGCGTATGCTATTATCCCTTCTGTACATATCACACTGTGTAATGGCCTGGACCATAAGCTGTAGGGACAGGGAAGGACACCTTCTTCAGGGGCAGACACTGCATATTGGCTGAAGGGATGGTAGTGCCTCTTTCCAATGTCTTCCATTGTCCCACACTGCCTCACAGTGGCTGCCAAGCTAGAGGGTAGAAAGTATCAGCTTGTTCTAGTAGGAATTATTAATTATCATCAGCACAAGCAGGAAATTCTTCCTCCATTTCTTTTTTTAAGTTTTATTTATTTATTTTGAGAGAGAGCAAGAGAGAGCAGAGGAGGAGCAGAGAGAAGGAGAGACAGAGAATCCCAAGCAGGCTCTGCACTGTCAGCGCAGAGCCCAATGCAGGGCTCAATCTCAGGAACCATGCGCTCATGACCTGAGCTGCAATCAAGAGTCGGACGCTTAACTGACTAAGCCACCCAGGCGCCCCTTCTTTATTTTCTAACTAAAAACGCAAATGAAAGAAGACATACAAATGACCAATAAACACATGAAAAGATGCTCAGCATCATTAGCCACTAGGGAAATGTGAACCAAAACCACGATGAGATACCACTTCACACCCCCTAGGAGAGCTAGAATAAAAAAGATAGACAATTACAGTTGTTGAGGAGAATGTGGACAACTAGGACTGCTCATCCATTGCCAGGAGTGTAAAATAGTGAAACCACATTGGAAAACAGTATGGCAGTTCATCAAAAAGTTAAACTACAGTACCCAGCAATTCCACTCCTAGGTATATATCCAAAAGAAAGAAAACCATATAGGCACACCAAACCCTGTTCACAAATGTTCATTAGCCAAAAAGTGTAAGCAATACAAATGACCCTTAACTAATGAATGGATAGGGGTGCCTAGATGGCTCAGTCCGTTAACTGTCCGACTTCAGCTCAGGTCATGATCTCGTGGTTGGTGAGTTTGAGCCCCGCATCGGGCTGTCTGCTATCAGCACAGAGCCTGCTTTGGATCCTCTGTCTCCCTCTGTCTCTGCACTTCCCCTGCTAATTCTACCTCTCCCACTCTCTCTCGAAATAAATAAACTTAAAAAAAAACGCTAATGGATGGATAAACAAAACGTGGAACCTCCGTAGAGTGGAATATTATACAACCATAAAAAAGAAATGGAGTACTGGTACATGCCACAACATGGATGAACCCTGAAGATATTACACTAAGTGAAAAAGCCAGATATAAATCACCACAAATTATATGATTCCACGTAGATACAGAAAGTACATTAGTGGTTACCTAGGGCTGGAGGGGAGGGGAGTGACTGCTAATGAGTCCAGTATTTCTTTTCTAGAGTGATGAAAACGTTCTAGCTATCTAATGATAGCTGTGATGGTTGCACTACCCTGTGAATACACTAAAAACCACCAAATTGTATGCTTTAAATGGGTGGATTGTATGGTATGTGAATTATAGCTCAGTAAAGCTGTTAAAAATAAAAAGAAGCAACTGAAACAATAGTAAACATGACTATTTCTAAACATTTGCTATGTGCCACTTGCATACTAAACAGCTTTTGTAAATGCACTCATTGTCTGGACTCATTGTCTTGACTCAAAGTCAAGAAAGGTAAGAGTATTTTTTTAAGATAACTTCTGGAATGAGCCTAGCACAGCCAAGGGCACACAGCAAATACTCAACAAACAGTACTCTTTGTCTCGTCCGGTGATTCACTGAGAGAAGTGCAGGCACAGACCTGGGTTTGGAACAATGTCTTGGGGAGGAGAGCTGACTGTAGCTGGAGGAAGAGACCTCTTAACCCTAAAGCTCAACTGGAGAGAAGCTGGGGGCAGGTATTGTGATCCCGGGGCAGAGTTTGAGGGAAGGAATCGTGGGCATGGTCCAGGGCCCCAGCGCAAAGCTGAGCGACCTGCTCTGGACTACCCCACGCCCAGTGGCGGAGAAGGAAGGACAGTGGTAGCTTTATGCACAGACCCTGGCCTTGGACTGTCACTTGGTTTTCAGTTGGACTCCACTTAAGTTTCTTAGCCTCAGTGGCCTCAAGTAACCTCACTGGCAAAATAGTGGTAGCTACCTAAGAGAACTGTTATTAAGAATTAAATGGGTTCATGATACGCAAAGCACTTAGAACTACCCTGGCACACAGTGTAATAGCTCCATATATGTAACGACTGCTATTGTCAGCTCATCATCATCATCATCAACTGCGAGAGACGTCGTCTGACTCATGGGGCCTGCGGAAAGACCAGTAAAGGGAGGTGGCAAGCAGACATCAACATTTACTCCTGGGGGGAGGGGGGTCTACTTGCAGGGTGGCCATTTTACATAGATTTCGCGTTGTGTGAATGCGCTGGGAGGACGGGAACTGTTCCAACCCCTCTGTGCCAGGACCTATCCAAGGCTCCGGTCCCGGACGGGCGGGCGGGCGGACAAGGCGAGCTTTAAGGCGGGTAGACTTACCCCGCGGCGGACAGATTTAGGGTCGCGGAGCATTTGGGTAGGAGGAGGGAGAGGGAGGAGCGCGGGGCTCGCTGGGCGGAGCTGGGGGAGGTCCGTCGGGAGGGAAAGGCCTGTCCGGAGAGAAGGAAACGGGAGAGTGGGCGCTGCAGCCTCGGAGGCCCGGCCGGGCGTCCAGGGCGCGGTACCTGGAGTCGAACTTCTGGCCGTCGGGGAATGTCCCCACGTAGTGGTAGCGCACGAAGTCGCCACTGCGCACGGTGCGCGGGCACTCGTCCGGCACGAAGCGCCGCTCGATCTGCAGCTCCGTGTCGAGGCCCAGGCCCGCCACGGGCGCCGCCTGCCCGGTCACCCAGAGCAGGAGCAGCAGGAGCGGCGGCGGCGGAGGCCTCCAGCCCCGGGCTCTGAATGCCATCAGGGGTGGCGAGGGGCGGGCGCGGGGCGCAGCGTGGAGCCGGCGAGGGAGTGCGGAGCTCCGGCAGCGCGGGTCCGGGCTGGGCGCGCCGCGGCGTTTGCAAACGTGGAAAAGACTCCCGGCCCTCCCCGGGCGGCAGCCGCCACCCCCCTCTCCCACCCCCCGCCCCCCGGCCACATCCGAGCGAGGGGAGGAGCCGCAGCCGCGCGCCTTAGCTGGTGTGCTGCGCTCCGCGCTGCCCGGGTCTGGTCTGGCCCTGCCCTGCCCTGCCCCGCCCCACCTTGCCCTGCCCTGCGAACTGGCCCGCCCTGGGAAGAGCCTGGCAACTTCAGAGGGAACCTGTCCCCGAGGGAGAAACTGTGAACTTCTCGGGACGGGGCTCTGGCCCAAAGTTGGAAGAGAAAAGCGTTTACTGCCCCGGCAGACTGGCCCGTCTCCGCCTGTCCCTGGAGACTCCCCAGATTTAGCGCCACCAGAGGCTCCTACGTGGCCGCGGATCCAATTACTTCTGGCTGCTTTGAGAAGGGAGGGAATCTTTAGATGATTATGTTTTGTTTTTTACTTAGTTAAAAGAATGGATTCTACATGAAAAAGACTGAAACCATTCTTCAGGATTTTTTTTCAGGATTGTCTTTTATACTTAAAGAGAAAGGGAGAGGCATGTATTGTGATACTCCCCTGACAGCTGTCACGAGAAAGTTTCAAGTTACTGTGAGTGTTCCCGCAAGCCATTAGTGGATGCACTGTGAGCTGGTACTCAGTAGCAAACATCTCACGTGGCCCCCCACACGTGACTAAGTTAGATTGGCCTTCACAATAGAGACCGAGAAGCCCCAAGAAATTCATTAGAGTACTTAAATGAATTCTTAGGATCAATTGTTCTTATTTATTAAAATTTTGGACTAATGAGAGCAAATCACCAAGGGGTTCTCAGCTTCTTTTGGAAGTAAACAATCTTGATACCAAGATCTGGCCAACACAGGGGGAGACAGAGAGGGAAACTGGGCACCAATCTAATTTATAAATACAAGTACAAAATAATAAAATGTGAGCAAATTGAATTCATCAGTTTATTAAGGGAATAATACACCGTTATATGCACTACCTAGGTGACCTGCAAATTAATAAACGGTCTCTGTGTGCTCTGTAAGATGAAGATAAAACATGGTAATTAGAAGATAATTATGGATTTCATTAGATCCCAGAATCTAATGAGAAACTACATGTAGCGCTGAGGAAATGTTCATTGTTCCCAACAGAGCTAACGCTATGGAAATAGAAAACCTATGAATATAATTCATCCTATTAACACTGGTTATCTGTAAGTGGTTGAATTTGGGGTGATGATTTGCTTTCTTCTTTGTACTTTTCAGTGTTCCTTGTTGGTTTTTAATGACTGCATTACACGTTTATCAAAATAACCCAGTTTACACAGAAACAAACAGGAATCTTCCACCCCCTTCCTGTGACTGTGGGTGACACATGTCACCTGTCTGGGCCTCAGTTTCTTCTTCTGTAAAATGAAGTGGTTGATTTCTAAGACTTCCACCAATTCTAAAATCCTACGATAGTGTGAGAGAGCAAACACTCCAGGACAGAATAATAGACAGATGTAGGAAGAGGTAGGCTAAGTGGTGACTGCCCCTTCCATTATGCCTTTTAGGGCTTCCTGGCGGTTTGATTTCTTGTCATTCCTTTAAAATTGTTAATTATCTAGGGGTGCCTGGATGGCTTAGTTGGTTGAGCTTCCAACTCTTGGTTTCGGCTCAGGTCGTGATCTCACCAGTAGTGAGTTTGAGCCCCACATCGAGTTCTGTCTGCACTAACAGTGCCAGGCCTGCTTGGCATTCTCTGTCTCTCCTCTCTGTCCCTTACTTGCTCATGCTGTCTCTGACTCTCTCAAAATAAATAAAATTTAAGAAAAAAACTTTATAAAAAGTTAATTATCTAATCAAACAGTATGTGCGCTTTTTAACATTGCTAAATCCCAACATATTCTTTGCATTGGATTTCTGTAGCAATCTACCAAAGAGAAAATTTACCTCTTGGCTTTAGTGATAGCATTATCCTAAGAACTAATTAAAATCAAGCCGAAACTTTGTTTTAAACTGTTTATTTAAGTAATCTCTACCACCAACTTGGGGCTTGAAATCACAACCCCAAGATCAAGAGTTGCATGCTTACCTGACTGAGCCAGCCAGGTGCCCCCAAGCTGAAACTTAAAAAATATATATTTCCATTGAGTTTCTGAGGGTGACTTTGTGAGGACTTCCCATGTCTCAAAACTGAATATATACTCAAGAAGAGTCAACAATGGGGTGCCTGTTGTGGCTTAGTTAAGCATCGGGCTCTTGGTTTCAGCTCAGGTCATGGTCTCACGGTGGGTGGGTTCGAGCCCTGTTCTGGGTTCCGTGCTGACAGTGTGGAGCCTATTTGGAATTCTCTCTCTCCTTCTCTCTCTGTCCCTCCCCTGCTCTCTAAATAAATAAATAAGTAAATAAAAAAGTAAATAAATATTTAAATAAAGAAAAGGACAAAATAATAGAAACATCCAAAAGGTCTGAGGTCAATGGAGGTGTGGAACAGCAAAGAGAAGGAAGAAAAGGGACATCTGGCAAAGGGTTGGTCTGGATGAAAGTCAGAAAACTAGGTTCTGTTCTATCTCCTCTATACAGGAAGTTGATCGGGAAAATCAAGCTAGGCAATAAAGAGAGAATTCCACTTTTCATTGAGCCTGAAATAAAGAAGTCTCATGAATCAGATCTTCCAAGAGTAGTAAACCCTGGAGACTAAGCTAAGTAAGCTGTTAACTTTAGCTTGGCACACACTAAGCAGGGATAAAGAAAAGGCCAGCATTAAGAAAAACATCACTGGAAAGTCCATCTGAGCTGGCCTGAGGCAAATGTGAAGCAGGAGAATCTCGCTTGCAGCAGCGCCCTCTCTCTTCCCTCCCCAAGAGCTTACAGCAAATTATCCCACCCGCTGTAATGACAACACTCCTGGAATTACCATATGCTCTGATGAAAAGCCCTAGACTAGAAATCAGATGCCCTTGGTTGTAGGGCCACCCATTCCCCTACTCTCTGAGCAATCAATTTTCTTATCTGTAAAATGTCTTGCCTACTTCCACAGAGTTTCTGTAAAGATCAACTGAAGCAGTATATGAGGGGCAGAAGTCTGCAAAATACGATGTAAATGTGAGGAATCATATTTATCTATGAGTAATAGAAGACCCAACACAAAATCACTTAACCCAAAAAGAAATATACTGTCTCTCAGAATAGGAAAGCAGCTCCAGGACTGGTTAATCAAATGTCTCTAAAACATCCTCAAGAGCTGAATGGTCTCCTCTCCTCAGGCAGCCTGGGGTTTCACTGCTGCGCCCTCATGGCTGCCCCAGATCCAGCCACCACATGCAGGGAGAACCATCCTGAGGGAGGAAGGATCATTTAGTATCATTCCAAGTATCATTTATTAAGATCAAGGAACTTGCTATAAAGCTTTCCTCGGACAAGACCGCCCCTCACGTCTCATTGGCTAAAATTGAATCTTGTGTCCATTGCTAAACCAATCAATGGAAGAGGAATAAGGTTACTACGTTTGCTTTAAGACTAATCAAGATTCACCTCCAAAAAGGATGGAAGGGGTCTCTACTCTCTAACCAGCCTCCGCTGAAGTAGACAGCTACCTTAGACTCCTGAACAAAATCAGAGTGCTTCCAGCAAGGAAGAAAAGGGGAAATAACAATTGGGTTGGCAACGAACAAGGTTTGGCACAGATTAGCAATTACATTTGGTGTCTCTCCTTCTTCCCACAGTCTTCTCTACTTGCAAGCCTCAAATAAAGCATATTGTCTGACATTCTTCCTGCAATCTGACTAGTTACTAAACTGTTACTGGAATGCCAGTTAAAATTGTTAGAAATAATGCAGGGTCTCTCACATGTTTCCACTGTGCTGCAGAGAATGGTGAACATGTATTCCTGGGAGCTTACTGCCTACTTCACCAAGAGAATTCTTTGAAATCTGGTGTTTTTAATTTTTAAAAAGACAGATTTGCATCCTACCCTCTAAACTAGCAGTGTTTCTTTAATATATAACAGAATGTGGTCTTTCTCTTTTACTCACCTTTTACCTTCCTCCATCTTCCCAGTGGAGAAAGGTCACCTGTAAGATAAAAACTAGAGAAATACACCTTGTGGACCACCACACCTCCAGCCAGCCCAAGTGCCTCCCTTCACCACTTTGCATTGGACCCCCAAATAGACCCAAACTCCTCCTGCCCCACTGGGGGCTCACACACCTGCACCAGCTCCTGCAAATGCACATCCTGTAGGAAGAGCTCCTGCTCCCACTGCCCCACGGGCTGTGCCAAGTGTGCCCAGGGCTGCATCTGCAAAGGGGCATCTGACAAGGCAGCAGCTGTGCCTAATGTCAGGGAGAGCCTCCTCTCTGATATAAATAGAGCAACATCTCCAAACCTGCAGGTTCTTTTCATACTACCCTGAACCTATCGCTACATTCTTTTTTCTATGAATTATTTGAATGACAATAAACTCATCTAGATTCTTCTGGCAAAAAATAGGTAGGTAAAATAATACACCTTGTGAGCAAAATAATGGCATCAAAGCTATGCTGCGAAAGGTGATTGATATAAGCAGGAGAAAGTCCAGTCTTTTTAACATCGTTCTAGTCTGGAAGCCTTAACACATAACCAGTAAAACAGAGTCAGCAGCCACCCCTCCACAATTGGGCCCACACTGAGGCCCTTTGGCTGGCCTTGAGAATGAATATGGTATCTTAGGATGGAGTAGTGGTTACAAAAAACTGAGGCAGGGGGTACAGCAGGGAGGGAATGCAAATAAAGCGTCTCTCACCTGGGTTAAGTGCTTTAGTACAAAGTGAAGGCTGACTCCCTACATATTCATGTTTGGGCAATAATCACTTTACTCTCTTTCTGGAAAGAAACTGTACCTGCACACCCCTCCAGATTCTACAGGCG